CGCATGCCCAGCCGGGCGTCGCAAGGCACTAGCTGCCGCGTCCGCAGCGGACGGAAAGCTGGAGGCGCTGCCTGGCGAACGCGCGAGGTCTGCCCGAGAAGCCGCGGGGGCGGGGGCCGGCCGGGGGGGCTGCGCGAAGCCCTGCTGCGGCGCGATCTCCACTGTGGCGCGCCCCTGTCCGACGCTGCGCGGGCCGCCCGCGCAGTTGCGGGAACCGCGGGCGCGCTGTCTGCTGCCGCGCGGGCTCGCGCCGCAGAAGCAAGAAACGTCGGCGCGCGATCCGCGCCGATGCAGCGGAACTCGGCGACGACGTCGGCTTGTCCGCGGCACGCCGGACAGCGCGCCAAATGCGTGTCCGTGCTCTGCGCACTTTGCAGGTGGCATGATTGATAACGGACGCAGCGGCACAGCAGGCGCACCACCTACTCGCCGCGCTGGAAGGCCGAGGCAGATGGGGCACCCCCCGTCGTCGCCGAAGCGGGCACAAGAGGAGGATTCACAAGTTTCCCCGTCCAAATCTGTGCGGCCCGGCGTCGTTGTTAAGCTTGCTGCCGCGCGAGCTCGAGCGCCAGCCGCGCGCCGCGGCGCTCGTCGAGGTGGCGCCGCCGTTGCGCGCGGTTGCGGGTGGCGCGCGCGTCGCGCTCGGATCGGCGGCCGCCGCCCGACACCCGGGCGCCGCGGCCAGCGGCCGATCTCCCGGGCGGTCTGTTCACGTCGACGGGGCTATCCTGATTGAACAGAGCCAAGTCCCGGGGAGACTCTGGCACGGGCGGCGATGCGGCTGCCGGCGCGGACTGCGGCGGCCGTGCGGAGCTCGATCCACGCGGCGCGCTGGCGCCGAGGGCTGAGACTGAAGGCGCTTAAGTCCAGCTCGGCAACTGCACGTCGGCAGGTCGACTGGGTTGGGGGCGCGGCGACGCGCGCGTTGTGGTCGCCCATCCAGTCGCGCCCCCGGGTTCGCCCCAGCCGGAATGCACCGCCCACTTGCGTCCGCCACCGCGAAGTTGCTGGTGGCGGTGGTGGCGCTGAGGCTGCTGGAGCCTGGAGCCGTCGGCGTTGTCGGCGCACCTAAGGCCGGCCCGGCTGGCGGCGCTTCCCGCGCTGCTGCCTGGCGGCCAGGGCGACGCAGTCACCGGAACCGCTGGCGCTGCCGAGGCTTGCGCGCGGCCCGCGATGTCGGCCATCTCCTGTCGCTGTCATCGTAATTCGGCTTCGCGCGGCGAGGGCGACGGCGACGGCGACGCCCATGGCGGTGGGGGGCGCCGCGGGTCGTCCGGCGAAGGACTCGGAGCAGCCGTTGGCGCCGATGGCCTCGGCGCGGGCGCTGCTGGAATTGGCCGCAGGCCGAGTCCCGGCCGCGCCCCAGGCCATCCAGACCGCGCATTTCCCTGGCATGGGCCGCCGCTCGGTCGGCCCCGGCCGCCCACGCAGTCCCGGGAGAGCAAGTGGCGAGGATGGCGGTGCTGATGGTGGTACTGCGGCGTATTGGCGCCGAGGAAGAGAGCGCGCCCTTGTCGGCGGCGCCGGGGGCTGTCGCGCACGAGGCGCTCCTCGGAGTCGCGCGAATGGCATTTGAGGCGCGCCCCGCCAGCGTCCATGGGATTGCCCCAGCGGCCCGAACCCGCGCCCGTGGCCCTGAACTCCCCCCCACCCCCTCACCTTTGCCCTTCCTGAAGCCCGCGAAGGTCTCCGGGAGGTCGTTCTCCTTGCCCTTCCGTTTGATGGCCCTCCAGGCATGGCGCGCGGGCTCGCGGCCGCTGCAGCAGCGCCAGCGCGCTCTGGCGCGCTCGAGCCCAGAAGAGGGTGAACAACGCGTTGTTCCACTGGAACGCCGCGCAGCTCGGGGTCGTCAGCAGCCGTCTCCTCGCCGAATGAGCCGGCGGCGTCGGCGTCGGTGCCCGAGTCGATCTCCGCTGCTGGGCGTGCCCCCTGCGCCGGCGGCGCCGCTTGCGGCGAGGCCCCCGGACGCGGCCTCGGCTGGCGAGGGGGAGCTCGGCGCCGATCCCAGCGCAGAAGGTCGCATGCCGCCTCGGCAGTGCTCCCGCGCGGGCGCAACCGTGAGGAACGGGCGCAGAATGGGCCGCCGAGGCGAGTTTGCGCGGCGATCCCCCTATCGCGCGCCCAGAGCGTCTCAGCTGGCCCGTCATATGCGCGAGCTGCCGATCGTTCGCGGGGCAGGCCGCGTCGCGGCGCTGCAGGAGCAAGGCGAGTTGAATGTTCGACGCGCCAACGGCGCGCGGCAGGAGGAGCTGACCCCCTCGCGGCCGATCAGGAGTTAACCAGCTTGCTGCGCAGGATGTCGAAACTCTTCAGGAGGTTGTCGACGCGCTCCTGCGGCAGTAGGCTGAAGTTCACCAGAGCCGGCGCTGCCGAGGCGCGCTCCTCCAAGCTCAGACGGCCCCATCGCTCGGCCAAGCTGCGCGCTACGGAGGTCATCGGTGGCGCGGGGTTGCCGTCGATGAAACAAATATCCCTGGATATCAGCCGGCAGCCATTCGTCCGCGCACTTGCGCGCCGTGCCAGCTAGGCGCGACGAGACGCAGGCCGCCCAGCGAAACTCGTTGAGGTCCGAGTTCGGCACTGACCAGATCATCACCTCACGCGCCCATTTTTGGAAAAGGCACGCGAGCCTGGAGCCGGGGCCCCCAGGTGCGGAGGTGGCCCATGTTGCCGCTGCCACCACCTGCGTCCACGCAGGCGATGCAGCTTGCGATGGCGAACATGCCCACTCCGGTGGCCTCCCATCCGGAGCGTAGCTCCCTCCACGCGTGGAAGAGGTGCTAGAGGCCGGGGAGCCGCAAGCCGCGTTGTATGATTCACCGAAGAAACTTGCCCCGCATGCGTTCCTCTTCGTCAGCGCATTGGGCGTTTGCTTCCGTCGCGCCACTGTTGTGCCCACGGCGCTCGGAGCATCCCGCAACACAATCATGGGCATGCTCTTCGTACGTCGTGTGGTCACTATACTGAGCGCCGACAATTGCGCGATCGTCTAGAGGAGCGCGCATCGGGGTCCCGTCCTGCCCTGCTGGCGGGCCTGATCAGGAAAAGCGAAGGATCGGGTCCCGAGCTGTGGTGCCTCGGAGTGATGGCGCCCTGGCCGTCATGCCCTCCGCTGAATTACCTCGGGGGGTGCCCGCTGCATCCCCGCTCTGCGCCGGCGACGCAGTCGCCGGACACCACTTGTCTGCGCGCTTCTCCCAGAGCTCTCGAGACACAGTCCCAAGGAGCTCGGGGCCTTGTTCTGGCACCGCATATGGAAAAATTGTGTCGAGCAACTGTCTAACACCTGAGTCCACCCCCGCGGGCGGGGGCACTGACAGTTTGGGGTCCGCGAGCTGCCTGGACACAATCCGGACATGCCCGGGATGGGTCGCGAAGCGGCCCTTGTACATCTTGGTGGTGTTGTCATTGATGAAATCCTGGTTGTGCACGTTATCGGCCATTGGTCCTGGCGGATGGGCGGATGCCCCGACGGACCCCTCAGCAACGTCTCCTTCCGCACTGAGCGGGAAAAAGGTGCACGAAAGTGATGATGCTGAAGGAGGATGTAGAAACGGATGTGTAATGGCATGTAGAATGGCACGACGTAGTGTTCTTGCGGATGGGCTGGCCCGGCCCTCGCGTACCCTTGAGTGACGTCTCTTGCAGGCGTCGCGATGTAGAGCCACGGAGGGGGGGAACCATGGCCATCGAGGCGAGACGGGACATGGCGGCCGTGGTGTTAGAGCAGGGGCGAACCTGCTCCGCTACCAAATACAAATGAAAATGTAAGAAAGTGGATTTGTTGTCCGTAAGGCGGGATTGTAGAGCGATGCGTCGCGCGTTACGAAAATCTAAAGCGGGCGCGGGAGGATATCCTGCCGGCCCCGGAACACAAATTGTGGAGGCAAGGGGAGACCATCACAACAGGCAAAGGTGAGAAGGGACAGGTGGGCTACCGTTCGCGCTGCTCCTGGGGAGGGCTGCTTGGGCACCGTGCGAGCGAGGTGGGCGGAGCGGTCATGTTTCATGCGTTTGCTGCTCTGCCATACGGTGGGGGCATTGGATAAGCAACCCTTAGAAAAGGAACCCAGGGTCTGGAAGCCAGTGGAATGCCAATCGTGGATCGGCCATGGATAGCACCGCCGCCCTCATCGAATACGGAATCCTCCAGGGTATGGCGTCTCCTGGGACTATTCCTTAACAAGCGCCTCCACCGTACGTATTGTGGAAGTTTCAGCCGAGGAGCAAACCAGTAGAGCCAGCAGGAAAAAGAGGAGGAGAAGCAGCAAGAGGAGGAGAAGGAGGAGGACGAGGAGGAGGATGAGGAGGTGGAAAAGCAGGGGGAGAAGAAGGGTAGGGGAATGATTAAGAGTGAAGACGGAAGAGGCGGAGGCTGAGGGTGGAGGCGAGAGGAGAACGGTGAGAACGAAGAGGAGGAGCAGGACGGAGAGGAGGGAGGATCAAGGGGAGGAGGGAATGGGAAGAGGAAGGATCCGGCGATCCCAACATCCCCAGCACGAGAGCTTCAAGGACCGAAATACGCGCTGAAAATAATCGCCGAACATCGTCGGCAGCCAAAGGAGGAGGAGGAGGTAGCTGCCACTCTGCGTCTCTCTTTTTTGTCGCCACCGCTCGCCTTGCATATGTCACGCGCATCACACGGTTCGACGAGAGGTCTCATTTGCCAGAGCGTCCGGTAGGGAGTCATGGCATTATGGTTACACGGCAAGTGAAACGTGAACAGGCTTTGCCCAAGGGGAGGCGGAGGAGGGAGAATGACGGAGGAGGGAGAATGACGGAGGAGGAGGAGGAGACGGAGGAGGAGAAAGAAGAGGAGGTGCATGAGGAGGAGGAGGAAGAGGAGGAAAGGCACGAGGACGAGAAGGATGAGGAGGAGGAGGACGAAGAGAAGTAAAGGAAAGGATGAGGAGGGGGGCGGGGCCAAACAACAACAGGGAGGAGCGACAGGGCGAGGAGGCGAAAGGGGAGATACAGGGGGAAGAGGAGGGAGGAAGACCGAGGAGGAGAGGCGAGCAGGAGGACGAGGGGGGGAGGGCGACAAGGAAAACTCAGCCCCGGGCCGGCCCAAGGGGGAGACCAGGGGCCCGAAACGCAAGGTTTGTCGCAGGGGGGCTGCGGGCCAGTGCCCGGAGCGAGGGCAGCACTGCCGCGGGGCGAAAAGGGACGTGGGCGGCAGCTTCCGGCGCTCTCGCCCTCTCGCCTGCCTGTGCTCC